CGCGACTGGTTTACACTTTCGAAGATGTCTATCATACGAGATGAGGATGGAAGCTTGAAGCTGAACCGCCACATCCATCCTAAACCAGTTAGGTGATAGCAAGCCAGGGTTCGACACAGGTGGCTGTGAGACATGTTTCCGAAAGCATGAAACATGATAAGCATCTAAGGCACCGTAAAGCCAATGTATACGCCCCAAAACCACTGCCCTAGGGCTCCAGTTGCCGAGCTAGCAGGTTTCTGGGATACATAATATGGTTAATTAGTAACCTACTATTTGGGTAACTGGAGCCCTCTAGGGAATGTATATGCCCCTGAATCCTCCCTAAACCCTAAACCCGAAACCCTCAACTCAACTTGGCAGCGCCGGCCGTCGCGGCCCGCCACCCGGGCTTTGCGCTCGCCTGAAGCGACGCCCTCGCGACCTGGCGGTCTTGCTAGGGTGTCTTGGGGTTTCAGGGTGCAGTGTGCCGTTAGAGGGCCCTATGATTCTCCCCATATACATCAAATATATGTATGTATATGTATATATATATATATATGTACATGCATACATACATATATATATATATATATGTATGTATATATCTATATATATATATATTTATACATATACATATACATATACATACACATATACATATGCATATACATATACATATACATACACATACACATATACATATACATATACATATACATATACATACATATAGATATAGATAGATATATGCTCTCGGGTCCCGGGCCGCCACCCCCCCCCCAATGGTATCCCCCCCCACCCCCCCGGCCCGCACCTTGCCCGCCCCTTGACCTTGTGCGTGGATCGGGAGTGTCGCACTATGCCCCGCCGTGTGCGGAAAGCGGCAATCGGCGCAGTAGTTTCCAGCATCTGACATGAACTGCAATGCTGAATTATGAGGGTTGTATGGCGATGGTGATGGTGGCAGATATTCTTTTGATGGTATTAATGATGAAGATGACGATGACAAGGATGATGTTGAGCATAGTCTGATTGTCGACTCATGTCCCGGTCTAGAGCAGCACAACATCATGAGCAGTATCACCGGTGCCACAGCAAGAGGGAAGACAAGGAGTAACACATAAGAACGTCGCGGCAAAAAGAGTATCACCACAGGCCCCACACCACAGGGGGGGCGGGGGGGGAAGGGGGGAGGATACCATGGGGTGGGGGGGGGAGGGGGGGGGTGTGGCAGCCCTGCATCATCTATGAGTTGCTTTGCAAGGGTTTCTACAGCATATTGGGTTTTGGAAATCGGGTTTGGTACGCGGACTCAAACCCCTATCAATCCTAAAACTTGCAGCCCTCCAGCCTGAACTCTGGATCCTAAACATGCAAAGCCTAAGCCCTAATCCTATTGGTAGTTCCCTAAATTGGGATCCTTTTTGCGGTCCTTGTTATAAGGGTGCCGTATTGTAGGCCCAAAACCTAGGCGCCAGATTCGAGTCATGAGAAACGACATGTTGCTTAGGTCCGGGCAGGCGTGGAGTCCACAGGACTTTGTTACTCCTAAGGATTTGTGGATAGCAGGCTCGTTTTTGTCTTAGTGGTAGACCTGTAGACTGATACCCTACCGCCTTTTTAGAATTGATCCTAACCATAAAACTAGGTACCCCCGAAAAGGGGTAGGGTATGATCCTCTAGGGAGTGAGTAGCCTTCAGCCTTTTTGGGGGCAACTAATCTATCATTATTCACAGTTTACTCCCAAGGTTAACCTTTAGAGTTCCCCTAAGACGTGTATAGGAGAGTGTGTGATGATGCGGAGCTTGGAAAATCGGGTTCAGGGCATATGGGCATGGCTCTGAAGCTGAGGGTTTCGGGTTCGGGCATGAGGGCTTACTTAGATCCCCAATACCTAAACTTTAAACTTTTTGGGTTCTTAAAGTTTAGTAGGAATTGGATAGTTTACCCGTGTAATTCTGTGGCTATTGGGGTAGTAAGCTTAGAGTTTAGGATTCTGGGTTTAGGCCTTTGGGCTGTTGAGTAGCCGAGGCCGTCAAGAAGGTCTCTACGAGCAGTGGAGGAGTTGCCAAAGATCCAGGCGTGATAGGGACGCTTGGGGGAGTAGGAGGGAGGGGGGTAGGGGACTATACTTCCTTAAATAAGGCTTATTAAGTCCTTATTGTAGGTATTAAGGCTCCGCACACCCGGCCCCTAAACGGAAGCACCTGAGGTTTAGGGGTCAGGGTATAGAGTCTATAGAGTTTAGGGAAGTTTAGGGTTTAGAGTTAGGGAAGTTTAACGTCCGGGGTTTAGAGTTTAGAGTTTAGGGTTAGTCCCCCTAAGGGTCCCTAAGAAGGTGGCTGTTCTTGTCTTGTGGGGTCCTGTCCGGCTTCAGCGTTTGAGTGCAGGGCTTTCAGTTCAAGGTTCGAGGCCCAATGTAGGAATTAAACTAGGGTTCCTTTAAAAGGGGTCTATATAAGGGTTACTACAAGGGTTTTAGGGTATAGGGGCCTTATTCGTTAGAATAGTTTTGCTTTTTTTGGTGGGGGGTCCTTACTATATCTAGAGTATAATGTACACCAAAACCTTATTGTAAGTATTCAGGCCCCTACAGTACATAGAGTGCTGGGTACCATTTACTAGGAGCAGCAGATGCTGGAACTCCCCATCAATCACAGATCAGCTAAGTCCTGACCCTGCTTAGTTGCTGACTACTCCTGTGCATATTGCTGGTGCCTGCAGAGTTGGAGTTACATCGTGTTGCGTCGTGGCTTCAGGGTCCCGGTTTCGGGTCCTTAAGTTAGAGCTTTTCTTGAACAGCTTCCAACTACTTGCTTGCCTTTCTTGCGTTTCAAGGGCCCCGATTCCGAAGAGGGTAGAAGGACCCGGACCACCTCCTAGAACGATGAAGGCTTAACGATTCCTTCGCTGAGGGCTTTATCTATTCGGCCGTAGACCGCAAACCCGAAGTAGTCAAGCTTAGGGGAATCTTTTTGTTCGGGCCCCCCCGGCACTTCCTCGAAGTGGTCAAGACTCATCACAAGCTGGAGGACTGATCCGTGGGGGTTAAGTAACGCTTGCAAATTTTGGTTCTGGTTGTACAAGTTTTACGGTACATCGCCCAGGTTGGGTTTACGGTTTAGGGTTAATGGTTCGGATACTACTACAACTTAAGGTGCTGTGCTGGAACCTATTTGAGAGGATTGCAAAAGGGGCCTGCCGTCAGATTGTCCGGTGTGGCTTTCGTGTGTGCCTCGCAAGGTGCTGGAGACCACCCGAAGCTTTGGCGAAGTTGGTAAGCATGTGGTTGGAAGTTGAGGATTTCGGATGGTGGGGTTTGGGTCTTAGCATTTTTACGGACTGTATCCTTAAACCCTACACCGTAAACCTTACCTTAAACCCTACCCTAAGGCTCCTGGACCCTTGTAGTGAGATCCCGAACCCTTTCGCCCAAAGCCGATCCCCCAGACAGCCGAAGAGCCTCTTAGGAGCTTAAGGGTAAGCCCTAAACCATAAGCTAAACCCCTAAACCATAAGCCCTAAACCTCAATAACCCTAAACCCTAAACCATAAACCCTAAACCTTAATTCACCCTAAACCCTAAACCATAAACTCTAAACCTTAATAACCCTAAACCCTAAACTGTAAAGATGGAAGATCCGGGCTTGCAGTTTTGGGGGGTCTCAGGCTGCAGCGATATGAGTGCCCGTAAACTTGCCAAGCTACTCCTTTGCAATCCGAAGACGAGGGCTTCTGAATAAGCCACACGATCGGACGCACCTGTAGCTCCTATATGATCATACTGGAATCATACTGAATCCCACTATATCCGTGTGCTTTCTTGGTTGTGAAAAGAATTAGCATTACTATCTATTATTATTATTATTATTATTATTATTATTACTACTACTACTACTACTACTACAATTACCATTGTGATGACTACTCCATTGCTACAACATGTTGCTTTTATTATGGCAGGACCTAGAGAATCAATGTACCTTTAACACGGGGATATTACCCTAACAAAATGGTACATCTACCTTTTCAAATGTACCTGGGTTACTCCACAGGTTGCGCACCCGAAGGCCGGAATCCCTGCTATCAAACCATTATTACTATGATTACTTTGATTATTGCCATTATTCTAATACGACGATTCATATTGTTCTTTCCATTGATGGATTCTTACAGTGGTTGCTAGTTTTTTTCAGTTCTTGCTATATCCCGAAGGCCCTAAACCGTAAACCCTAAACTAACCCGAAGGCCCGAGTCCCGACAGCCCAGAAAGGCCGTGTGGGCTGCGGAGTTTTGCGCCTGGGCCGTCTTCGGCGACCCTTGCGGCGCCGGCTGGCAAATGCCATGGCCGGGTACGTGTACTCGGGGCCCAGAGACTCCAATACCCCTCAATTAAGGCATATACCTTAAATCATATTAGGGATCCTACTACTATTTAAGGTATATTCCTTGATTAAGGGCTATTGGAGTCTCTGGGAGTTTAGGATTTAGGGGTTACTTGTTTAGGGCCCGTCCCTATACGGATGTTTAGGGTTTGGAGGGTTTGGGGCCGTGGCATCAGTTTTCTTGGCTTTATCGTCGTGGGGGTCGTTTTGCCTTGTTAGTCTTGTTAGTTGCTTTGTGCAAAGGGTCCTATGTACCGATATAGTCGACTGTAGGGTTTCCATATTAGGAATTACTATTATGACTTAGGGAAGTATACCCCAGAACAGTACATAGGACCCTTTGCTTTGGTGTTTGTTTGCATGTGCGTGCTGTGCCTTGGCACACTCTGGAAAGGATGTCGCTGCTCCTAAACCCTAAAACCTAGCGGGGGACGCTGAGAAATAAGCATCACAACTTTAAACAACAGAAACCCGGGGATCCGAAAACCTCCCGTTTTAAGGGTTCTACCCTCTAATTAAGGGGTCGTATCCGGCTATTTTGTAGGGTTGGGGGTCACAGGAAAACCCTCTGTCCTCAGGCGAAGTGGCGAGAGTTTATTCTGCCTGCGGCTGTTCAGCTCACCCTCACGGCCATGAAAGGCTGGGCGCATTCTCACGAAATGACGGGAGTTCTGTGCAGGTTCTGGAGGGGGCTCATAATCATAGGCTTTTAAGTTTCTGCGCAGGCTCCATCCACATGAATGTAAAACGTAAGGATCTCGCAGCTCAGTTTGTGCGGATTCCCCTTGCGGAGTCCTTTCAGCCGAAGTACGTCGGATGATTTTCAACCCTAAACCCTAAACTTCCCTAACCCCAAACCCTAAACCTCAACTCCAAACCATAAACTTCCGATTAAACTTCCTTAACCCTAAACCCTATAAACGCCCTAAACCTCAGGTGCTTCCAAACTCTAACCCCTAAAACCTAAACCTCAGTTGCCTCCGTTTAACAGCCAAAGGCTCCAAGTGCCGGTATAGTGGATACTTAAGCCTTAAAGGGGTCCCTATTTAGGTACTTTAAGGCCTAAGTAAATACTATAATCTCCTACTACATGGGTACATGGAGCCTTCCCAGAGACTCCAATACCCCTTAATTAAGGAATATACCTTGAATCACATTAGCGATCCTGCTATAATTTAAGGTATATTCCTTAATTAAGGGCTGGAGTCTCTGGGCTTTAGGGACAGCCACTTTAAGCGTCCCAGGTGTGGGCTGCCGGGCGAACTCTTGGCGGCTGCTGTGCACTGGCGAAGAGGCGATTTGGGAGTTGCCAAAACTTGGGGGGTGCCTTTAAAGTTTTCCTTCAAGGGTGACTATAAGGGTACTATAAGGGTCCCTTTAAGGGGCTCTGTAAGTGTTGGGAGTTGCCGAAAATTGAGGGGTACCTTTAAAGGGTTCCTTTCAGTGTTGCTATACCCAAAGGCCCCAAAGTAGTTCCTTTTTGGTGTTCATATTTAGACTTCTATAAGGTGGTGCTTCCTTTAAGGGGCTCTATAAGTGCTGGGAGTCTCCGAAAACTAGGGGCACATGATTTTGGGGGTCCTGGTAATAGGGATCCTACTTTGCAGGGTACTACATTGGGGGTCCCCTTATTTGCATTCGGAAACTCCGATTTCGGCGCACAGCTTCGAGGCTCGTTTAGGGTTTAGGGCTATGGTTTCTTATGTAACGGTTTGGTTTCAGGGTCTTGTAAAGGGTTTTCAGTTTTGCATGATTTGTTTTCTGGACTTTGCGGGTTACAGCCAGATGCTAGGGACTCACTTCTTGAGGCTAGTGGGACCTGGGCAACGACAGTGAAGTTGGGTCCTGTATTGTATGGGAGGCAGAGATTTTGTTCTTAAGCTCACAGGTATATTCTAGGCATATATGTGGGGGTAGACTCAGACTGCCTGCGCATAGACCATGTCCTGCATAAGACAACCCTGAGCCGGTAAAACTCAGCCCTCCACTAAATGTGGACACCTCTGAACACTCAACCCTCAACTCCAGATCCTACTTGCCCTCACAGGCAGACATAGACATTCCTGAACCCTCGACACCACTAAGGTTTGACCAGTATCGGGGCCTACAGAGCTGTAAACCCCATTGTGTTGACGTTAGGGTTGTGGGGCCCAGGAGTGCTTACGAGATAGTTTGCAATCAGTTCTTCGAAAACATACCCCAAAACCATCTTCTGTTTGTCAATGCCCCTATTTCAAACACCTAGGCCTTAGGAAAGACACGGAAGAGAAAGCGTAAGGTAAAGGAACTCTGACACGAACCCGCGTGAGGCCCTTCTATATATTCAACCCTGAAACCCAAACCCTGGTGACCTGTCACACCCTAAGGGTCCAGGTATCTTTTTGGGAGGGTCCGCAATCTCCTAGGGGGAGCCCTTGGGTCTCTTTAGAATTGCAGAAATACCTTTAGGGTAAGCCCCAAGCCCTAAACTCGAAACCAGTGAGAACTAAAGATCTAACCAGGAATCCTAACCCTTGCAGCCTAAACCCAAACAAAAACAAATCCCTAACCGTCAGCCTAATCCCTAAACCCCGAACCCTAGACCCGATTACAAAAACCCATGAAAACCCTAAAACCCGAAGCCCTAAAATCCTAAGCCCCCAACTTCTGCGAGGAGCTTAGCAAATCCCTATCCCTATATCTACAAGCCCTGAACTAAGGAATATACCTTAAACCATATTCCTTTATTAAGGGCTATTGGAGTCTCTGGGCTATTTAAAGGATCCTAAACCCCTAACCCTCCCCCCACCAACTTCTGCCAGGAGCTCAAAGCACAGCTCCGGATCGAGGCTAAAGCCCAGGAGGCCGGTCCGGGCGTTCGGAAGTTTCCCTTAAAGCGTCCTTTAAAGGGCCCCCCAGAGACTCCAATAGCAATTAATTAAGGAATATAGCCTTAAATTATAGTAGGATCCCTAATATGATTTAAGGTATATTCCTTAGATGAAGGGGTATTGGAGTCTCTGTTGGTTCCCCCAAGGCACTTTGGGTACCAGGGTTCCCTTAAAGTTCCCTCCTTGAACCCGAAACATCCTTCAGCCTGTATCCGAAACCTCACTCCTATAAACAAGCTTCCTTTTACCTTACCTTAACTCGGAATACCCAACCTTTGTATGGACTTAAGGAAGTCATAATAGGGAGCCCTAAAAAGGTAGGTTCTTTGGATTTCTTTGGGGTTAAGGTAAATCCTCATCTCTAAACCCCCAAAAGGCCTCAGCAATGCAGCAGCGCCGCCTCTCGCGTCTTCACTCTCTCGGTGCACGGCTGATGGCCGGGGTGGTGCGATCGGCGCCTTGGAGATAAGGGAGGGGTGTTTTCTGCTCCCTTCCCAGACCCCAGACCCCAAACCCCCCCCAAACCATTAAAGGGCGATGTCTGGTCCCCTGCAGACACATGTCCGTAATGGAAATATGATCAGTTCTAAGTTCTAAGGTCTGATAACGTGCTGAAGCCTTTAACCCAGAGTCGGCGATCTCCATAGGACATGTTGTATCAGGTACGCTGAAATATTTGTAGTAATATGGTGCCTTGAGGTTAGGCGGTTCAAGGGTTCAGGGCTGCGGCTGTGCAAGGGAACCCAGATGTTCCAAAATCCCCTCATTAAGGAAGGAACAGAATAGATCTTAAACCATAGAATATTTGGGGCCCTACTACTGATTTGAGGTGTGTATTCCTTAACTCAGGGCTCTTGGAAGCTCTGGGAAGGCTGCCTCCCGCATAGGCTCAGAGGGATTGTCTGGGTTCTGCGGTCAGAGAGTACCTCTTAGCAGAGTAGGTAACCTTTAACTTTCTTGAGGAGTATAGTCCCTATATAATCCTGGTATACCCCAAAAGGTTAACCTTTAGTTCCCCATGATACCCGACAAGTGAGAGTAGGCTTCTAGCAGAGTTTCGGCTTCGGTTTCAGGTTGTCTACAAGGGATCTATAGCGGGGTTCTATGATATAGGGGCCTGAATAATTAGGGTGAGGGCATCTGCTTCTGTGATGTTTGTGTCTGGCTTGAAGTCTATAGTCTATAGCCCCATGGCTCCATGTTCCCATATAGTATATACTTAGGCCGCAAAGTACCTAAATAGAGACCCCTTCAAGTCTTAAGTATCTACTATACAGGTACATGGAGCCTTTCCCCAAGGGTCCAAGTACCTAATAATCATATACTCTCCAAAATCCTAATCTACATAACTACTATGCTAAAACCGAGTACCCGATTACTGGGTCCTTTGGACCCTTGGGGTTTGGGCAGGAAGGGCCCAGGATCCCAAACGCAACTCAAACCCGAGGCGGCGCAACGCACGAAGGCTGACACCTTCTCGCAATGGCGCCGCAAGGTCAAGTCTTACCTTTGGTTAGTAGGGAATGGAAGAATGGTAGTAAAAGTAGTTAATTATAATTATACCCCATTCCTCCATTCCCTACTAACCAACGGTAAGAAGTGGGCTCGAGGGTTCAGGGTTTGAGGGCTTTCGAGGTTTAGGGTTGCAGTAAGGGCCCATGCCCGATGTAATATCCGCTGACTGTCAAATTGGTTCCATATGTATAGTCTAGCACCAAAATAGGTCAAGTATCTACTATATAGCTACATGGACCATGAGGTTTTAGGGTTTCGGGGTTCCTGGCCTATAGAGCGTAAAGAACGAGAGTGCGGGTCTAGTTTTTGGGGTGTTGGGGTTCAGGGAAGTGACTTTTCAACGTTAATTAAGCGGTGTTCAAGCAAAGCAACGGACCCTACGACAACTTGTGTGGCAGTCGTGAGTTAGGTTTCACGCTTGAAAGCGCACAACACAAGCAGCGTCGACTGTATAAACCATTCACAGTGACGCTAATACAGATTGCGCGTAGGTGCCATCCACCTATATTCCGGAGTATAGTCTCGTGCAGGTTCACAACAATAACGTCCCATGCGACTGCTTGCTTCGCGGCCAGCTTCGTGTGACTAGCTTAATCGGGTGGTCGGGGGGCTGGGAAGGGCCTATGTCGCGAGATAACTCGTCACAAGCACCTATGCGGCTTCTATAGCCGGAGGCGCAGCTATGTCCACCGCGCACCCGGGAAGCAGTCCGGCAGGAGCTTCGATGGTTCCTGCAATTCGTTCGTGTCTGAGCTTTGCGATGGATGTAACCAGGGAATCTATACAGCTAAAACTTAAATATATCGCCAGCGCCAGCTTGCTCTGCATGCCGCCTCCATCTTTTTGCATGGGCGGGCTCGTCCGCGAGAGTTCGTGGTACTAGAGGCGGCCGATTTGAGAAGCCATATGAACCCTCAAGCTCTTAACCCTGTTTCCCAGAAACAAGGCCGTAAGTTCTAAACCAGCAGGCCCTGAACCTGAAATCCGAATCTACCCGCCCCCCTCCAAAACAAGTTTCAAATGTCAGATTCTCTCAACTCTGCACTTCAAAACCTTCAAATCCTACGACCCTACCAGGAGCCCCAAAAACCCCTAAACCCGAAAATCCTAGAAGCCATCTCTCTTCCTATACCAGGACCCCCCCAAGGGCCCTTTAATAGAGTCCTTATGGCCCTTAATTTTGGGTATTTGGGGTATATTAGTGGTTGGGGGTCTAGATATGCTCACGTCTTTGTCAGGAGCCCTCGGAGAGATGGACGGAGCTGCCTAAAGCGGCTCCGAGCTCAGGGGCGGGAGGGTGGCTTTCAAGTATATACCCACTTGAGGGTTTCGGGTTTAGAGTTCAGAGGTTAGTTTAGGGTTTAGGGCTTTGGGTTTAGAGTTTAGGCTTAGGATGTAGGTTTTAGTTGGTTCCGGTTTATAAGGTTAGGGGTTGAGGGTTTAGGGGTACTTAATGAACGAATATATCTTAACTTCTCATAGGATCCTACAGGATGCCCTTTGATAGAGCCCTGAAGGTCCTCAATAGACTTGGGGTATGATAGAGGTTAGAAGGTGGGTCTAGGTACATCCGCTCGATTGAGGAATGTACCATACTGTCGATGATATAAATCCTGCATGACCCATAATAAGGAATATACCATAATTCCCATAGTTTAGGGTCCTTAAGGTAATGCAGGATTTATATCATCAACCGTATCATATTAATAGGATCCCCCAATTAAGTGTTTAAGGAGTATTCCTTTGTTCAAGCTATCAAACCCCCACCCTAAAACCTAAACCCTAAAGCTAAACCCCTAAACCCGAAGCCCTATAGAACCCCTAATCAATAAACCCTAAACCGCAAACCCCAAACTCAACCCGAAGCCCCGAGCAGAGGCTGTTGGGCGCTGTATTTTGGGTTCTTCGGGTCGCTGTTTAAGGCGGCATCAGGGATTCTCTGGTTTAGGTTTAGAGCTTTAGGGTTTAGGGTTTTAGGGTTTAGGGTTTTAGGGTTTTAGGGTTTAGGTTTAGAGTTTTAGGTTTTAGGGTTTGGGGTGAAGTGGGGTGTAAAAGATCTGGGTTGAAAGCACCGCAGCACAGCTCATGCTGAGCAACTGTGCGGAAGATGGAAAGAAGTTCCTTCTGCGCCGCTTTCCACAGTGGAGGTGCATATTACTGGTTAGCTTTGCAACTTGGACTTTGTACTTCGTGCAAGTCAACGCAAACCTCCCTGAACCGTTAGCCCTAAAATTAGCCGCAAAGCCCCGAACCTTCAATGCGTAACCCCTCCCTCGTCGACGGGTTCGAAAAAGGGATCCATAACAACGATAATATCTCTAACCATAATCATAACAGCAATAGCAACAACAATACTGCACACAGCTAATAGTGGGGCCTTAGTTCTTAGAGTAGGGTTCAAGCCTGACTCGTCGGGAAGCCGCGAAGAGTCCTACAAGCAGGGTGCATAAGTCGGCCTCAAGGTTCAGGGTCTAGAGTGTGGGGCTTAGAGGGAACTCGGAGGCCGGGTTTAAAGGAATCTATAAGGGTCCCTTTAAAGGGATCCATAGGGTTTAGGGTTTAGGGTTTAGAGGGAACTCCAGAAAGTTGGAATATGGTTTCAGGGTAGGACACCTTAGAATTTACCATACGGGGTTTAGGAAAATCATATTCCAACTTTCTGGCTTTTACTATAGGTGATTCCCAATGGACTTCGAAATCAGAACTTCTGTGTCTGAGTGATGCACGAAGGTTGCTTACTACCTGAAGCCTCGGATGGCTATAAGTATAGGTTACGACTGTATAATACAAAGACAACGCTAGATACGCAAATCAAAGGAAAGCAAAAAATACATAAATGAGCAAACAAGAGTTTATGTGTATCTAGATACTCACATACATATATAGATACAAGCATGAAGAGTTTGTGTGTATAAGTGTATGTATGTCGCTATGTGGCTGTGTATTTTGCTTGTGTGTATATGTGTGTGTATATATATATATATATATATATATATATATATATATTACACATACGTATATACGTATATATTTGTGTACAATATACATTACATTATTACATACATGTGTGTATATATCTATACACATGTGTGTACATACATATATATACATATATATATATATATATATATCTATATATATATATATATTTATTTATTTATGCAAACATGTATATGAAAGAACACTATAGTTGGGGTTAGTATTGCTTGTCATATGGAATAGAAGTTTCCCGAGCAACGTCGTGCGGACATCAAGCAAGACACCACCATGGTCGAACCCATGTAAATATGGGATGGAACCCGTGCAGGACTTGCAGAGCGTGGTGCGGAGCGCGCTGCCCTCCACGCCACCCAAGTGGGACCCCGTGTCGGGGCCAAGGGAAGTGAGATCGAATAACATGTCTGTGGCCTCTTATGAAGCCTGACTGCAACAATCAGGTTTTGACAATTTAGGGTGTATGATAGTGTTTAATACCACTTCATAAACCCTTTATAGCGAGTCTGTAACATGCAACGAAACCGCCAAAATCCCGTTTGACTATGACGGCATGTTAGGTCACTCCGTCTTTCAGGGTTGGTGTTTGCCTAGCAGGATGAATTGTGGTACGGCCAAAAGAACGACGGGCTGATATCCGCAAGGCGAAGGCTGCCCCGTCGAAGGCTTCGGTAGTGATCTTCCGTCATGAAACCAAGCTGCAGCTGCCTTGCTTCTGACCCTAGTCATATCCTCCGATGAAGTTTGGAGCAAGCCCATGCCATGGAGCCTTTGACAGACTATACAGATCCTTCAAGCGGTCAGTGCTCTAGCAAAGCCTTATGAAGACCTTTTGGCATGCAGGTTGAGACGACGCCCTCAACCCTCCACCATCAGCCCATTTCCCCAAGGGTCCAAGTACCTAATAATCATATACTCTCTAAAATCCTAACCTACATAACTACTATGCTAAAACCGAGTACCCGATTATTGGGTCCTTTGGACCCTTGGGGTTTTCAATTGGACACGAACTCTTCCTGCGAGGACCTAGCCAGGGTCGAGCAAAATGCTATGCCAGTGCCCTTTGAGAAGGACCTGGCAGACAAGGCAAGATGTGGGGAGTTTGGGGGTTGAGGATGGCATAGGTTGTTTTGTGTTAATGGTGTTGTGTTCTTCAAGCTGCTCTGTAGGATTGTCTTAGACGTTTCTGTGAATGACTTGCGTAGGACTAGGATTTACGGCATGCGAGTAGAGTGTGAGATTTGGGCTGTTTAGACGTTTCTGTGAATGACTTGCGTAGGACTAGGATTTACGGCATGCGAGTAGAGTGTGAGATTTGGGCTGTTTAGACGTTTCTGTGAATGACTTGCGTAGGACTAGGATTTACGGCATGCGAGTAGAGTGTGAGATTTGGGCTGTTTAGACGTTTCTGTGAATGACTTGCGTAGGACTAGGATTTACGGCATGCGAGTAGAGTGTGAGATTTGGGCTGTTTAGACGTTTCTGTGAATGACTTGCGTAGGACTAGGATTTACGGCATGCGAGTAGAGTGTGAGATTTGGGCTGTTTAGACGTTTCTGTGAATGACTTGCGTAGGACTAGGACTTACGGCATCCGAGTAGAGTGTGAGATTTGGGCTGACAGGCTAGGCTTTGACTTTGGGCTGGGTGTGCAGTGGGCGGGGGCTCCCCCCACTCAACTGGAAAACCTGGTGTTTTCCTCCATAATCACGAAGATCGAGAATAGATATACAGCCACCCCGAGGCGACGAGACCCTACAAACACCGTAGGCCACGAACCTATAACTCCAAACCCGACCCTGAACTCAACACCCTCAACCCTAAGTTTCTAAACCCTGTCCTCAACCCTAAGTTTCAAACCGAAAGCCCAAACTCCAGCCTCAATCCCGAACCCAAGGTCCTGTTCTCCAAGCCCTTCATCCCCAGACAGAAACCAAAACCCAAGCATAAGCCAACGAACCCTAAACACAAGACCGTAACCTTAAGCCCAACACCCTGCTCAAAACCTAATCCCAAGTTCCATTACAAAACCCTTGTAGATGCCTTGGAAGAACCTCCAAACACGAGCCTGCAGAATCCTGTACTGGGCTGTATACTTTTCTTGGACATGTTTCTTATAAAGAGCTGTTACAAACTTATAATCTATGCTTTTTCGCCTGGTTACATCAAAATCCAGCCTTGACACCTTCAGGGTTTAGGGTTTGGGGTCCATAATACTTGTGCATACCTTACGGCTCCTGGACCGTTGTAGTGGGATCCCCAACCCTAGCCGTAGCCCCCAAAGCCAACAAAATCCCCCCAAAGGCCCAAGACCCTCGCAGGAGCCTGAGTGTATGGACCCTTAGGGTTACCTTCTACCACAAGGGTACTTATAAGCCATGACATGTGCTCCCAAAGAATCCAAGTGCCAAGGCACTTAGAAGAAACTTGCGCACCGCAAGTATATTCTATGCTATTACTTGGACTCTTTGTGTACTTATCACTACCTTAAGCCGGGAAAACCTACCTTTTTAGGGTTCCTTACTATGATTTCCTTATATAAGTCCTTAAAAAGGTAGGTTATTCCGGCTTAAGGTATCCATGACCTTAAGGACCAAATGGCCCCTAAAGCTGGGAACCCTCTGGGACGTAGGATCCTTTTGGTCTCCAAGGAGCCTCTGACACCCTACAAGAGGGGCTTCAACAATTACCGGTTTAGGGTTTAGGGTTTAGGGTTTAGGGTTTAATTCAATTACCTATACTATTTTGGGATTCCTTTTTTTTGATTATAGTATACTGGGCTTCAAAACCCTATTCTAACTATTAAGGCCCCTATACCCTAAAACTCCCTATGGTAGCCCTTGCAGCAACCCCTCTAGACCCGTTTTAAAGGAACCCTATCCTACCGTAATTCGAATTATAAAGTCACATATATGATAGAACCCGAAGTATTATAGACCCCTTATAGGCCCCTGTAAAGAGCCCTTTAAGGGAACCCGATTCTTTTGTTTAAGGCCCCTACTGTAAGCCCTGACTCTCAGGAAAGCCTCAGCTCGCCTTTGACGCACGAGTCAAGGCCAGGTTTAGGGCTCAGGGTTTAAGAGGGGGGGGGGGGGTTGGGGATTTAGAGGCCGTTTAGGGTTTTGGGGTTTAGGCTGCTTCATTAAAGCTTAGGGTTTAGGGTTTAGGGCTTAGCCCTAGGGCTCAGGGTTTAGAGTGTAGGGGCGTAGGGGAGAGGGGTTAGGGTTTAGGTTTAGGGCCTTGTTCCCCAAGGGTCCAAAGGACCCAATAATCAGGAACTTGGGTTTTCGATATTTGGGAGAGTATCTGACGATTATTAGCTAATTGGAGTAGGGTATCTTACTACTTTGAAGGGTCCATGGCTTGGGGTGTAGGGTATTTCGGGTTTAGAGTTTATAGGGCTTAGGTTCAGGGTTCACGGGTTTAGGGTGTGGGGTTGAGGGTCTAGGGTTTAGGAAGCTTAGGTGTTTAGGGTGCAGGGGTTTGGGGCTTAGGGTTTCTGTTATTTCGCCGAAACATACTTTTTTGTGTGGGTTCTTACGAATTAATATGCACCCTAAGATGGAATTGATAGGGACCCCCCTGAACCCTTAACCCTAAACCGACCCTGCTAGGTGTTGGTGGGTTAAGGTAGGGAACCTTGGAGTTATACAGGGCTGCGAGGAATTTTTCACGGCGTCCATACAATAGCCACGGTGCACTACGCTGTCCTGCACGACTAGAAGAAGGGTATATGAAAGTTAACAGGAGCCCTGAGGAACACAGTTTTGCAAGTAGTGACTCAAGCCCCGGAACAGAGTTGAGGGCTTTGGGTGCTCACAGGCTGACGGCCTTGGGGTGCTATTCGCATTGTTGAGGGCTTCCGGGGGTGTAAGGTTTCAGTGGTTGCAGGGATGCGGTTTAGGGGATTTTAGGCGTTCAGAAGTTTAGCGTTAAGCTCTTTAGGACTTTTCGGGGTTTCAGGTCAGAAGTTCAGTATTTAGGCTTCATGGGCAGTATGAGTAGGAATGTAAGCACCTTGAAGGCAGAACTAGGGACAGCTACAGCCTAAAGTGCCGCCCTTGTAGAAGCACCCATGAACTTCAACTTCAAGCCCACATGCCTAAAGCCTTTATGGCGACCCACTGCTTCAGCGCTAAGCCCTCATTCCTATACCACCAAAAGCCCGAAAACACCCAATAACTCACACCCTAAACCCTTAAATAAAGGGGGATCACCTGCAGGTTCCTTCCCTGGGGTCGCGTGCACATGTCTCAGTGGCTATCGGGGTGAGTGGTTGTCATGTGCCTTACCAGGGTTTGGCAAGCTTTTCGTCGATAAGCAGGGGTTCAGGGTGTGACGTTGACTTGTTTTTTTTGCGGAGGTTCTGGGCCTGAGGATTGAGGATTCTGAGGAGTACAGTTCAGGGTACAACTCAGTCTTTAAAGTTTACGGCAACAGCATCGGGGTTCTGCTGTGTAGCTTGATGGCGCTAAGCCTTCACAGTCTACATATCTCCGACCTCTGATCATTCAAGCATGTTCAAGTCGGTGTTGGGGTTTCGAATTCCTGAACCTTCAATCTTGATCCCTAGACCTTCATCTTGGGCAAATGACCCTGACACATAATGCTTACGGTTGATGATATAAATCCTGCATTACCCTAAGGACCCTAAACTATGGGAATTATGGTATATTCCTTATAATGGATCATGCAGGATTTATACCATCAACCGTTATCGGCCACTTTGAGCCTTTGCGCCAACTCCCAAGGCCCTAGAATGCCGACACCCGCCAACTCCTGTAAGCCCTACCTTAAGCCGGAATAACCTACCTTTTTAAGGACTTATATAAGGAAATCATAGTAAGGAGCCCTAAAAAGGTAGGTTTTTCCGGCTTAAGGTACTAGTATGGTCTTATGTCCAGGAGGTGAGTTTCGGTTTTCCGACGCGTCTATGTAGCTCGTAATCACATACACCACCAACTGTCTACATTGCCAAACGCACGTACCGACTTTGGCATTTTGGACCCGGGAAGCTCTTATACCATCATCAGATGCCTTAGGAAGCTCTATACGTATGTTGTACTTGGTTGGCACCCTAAACCCTAAACGCTTTTCTATCTTGCAACTGCGGAACATCGAGTTGGGACTGCGAGATTCAAAGGGGGTTCAAAAGCACCCGAAGCTTCGACATATGTTACTAAAACCTTAGCGTTTTCCCCACCAAGGGTCCTAACACTTTCAATATGTAGGATTTCTGAGATCCCAAAGAGACCCAAGGGCTCTCCCCAGGACATGCCGGACCCTCCTAGGGAGATACCTGGACCCTTAGGGTTGGAGGTTCAGAGATGTTCATTAGGAGGGTTATGCGGATTTGTTAATGGTTTTCGCAGCCGTTGAATGTAGATCCACTGATGAGTATGCCCACACACAAGCCCAGACAAATCCTACTCCTTAAGCCCTAAGTTTTCCAAACACCACCTCCCCACAACCCTCAGTATAGTACTCCGAAGCCTAAACCCGGTAAGCCCTCAACCCTAAACCCGAAGCCCTAAATCCAAAACCCTAAAATCCTAAAGCCCTAAGTATTTCCCTAAACCCCTTAACCTCACCTCTGGATCCGAAAACCTACCGTTTTAAAGCCTACACCTTATAACTGAGGGGTCATAACCTACTATGTTTTAGGGTTTGGGGGTACAGACAGACCCCAAACCCAACAAAACCCCAACAACCCCAAACCACAAGTATTTCCCTAAACACCTTAACCTCAGACCCTAAAACACCCAACCCCAAGCCCCTACACCCTAAACCTTCCTATAAGTATACCCCAAACCCTAAACCCTAAACCCCCCAACCCTAAACTGGTTATAGTAAACTCTGCCCCCAAACCTTATTCTAATTCTTACAGTAAGGCCCCTACATCCTTAAACCCACCCCTAAACCCTAAACCTCAGACCCATAAACCCCTAAACCCTAAACCTCTAAATTCTAAACACAAGTAAGCCCTGAGGCCCTTCCCTGACCTCACGGAGCACCTGGAGAACGCAGCTCCTCAGCTTCTGCAGCGTAACTCTGGCAACACCGAGGCACCCGGGCTTGAATTGAAGAGAGTTTTAGGGATTTAAGGTTTTAGGGTTTATGTAGGGCCTAAAGAGAGCTTGGGGATTGAAGGTTTTATAGGGTTTATGTAGGGTTTAAAGCGAGATTTGGGGCTTAGGGAAGTTGAAAGAGAGTTTAGGGATTTAGGGAGTTAAGGTTTTGGGGTTCAGGGGTTAAAGAAACTTGGCAGTTTAGGGTTTTAAGGTATCAGGGCTTAGGGCTGAAAGAGAGATTGGAGTTTCGAGACTTAGGGATTTGGGGCTTAGGGTTTAGGGTTTAGGGTTTAGGGTTTAGGGTTTAGGGTTTAGGGATTTAGGGCTTAGGGGGCTGTCGGAAGTTTGAAGAGGGTTCGGAGTTTAGGGATTAGGGCTTAGGGAAGTCCAAAGAGAGTTTGGAGTTTGGGGTTCAGGGATTTAGGGTTCAGGAAAGACGAAAGTTTGGGGTGTAGGATTTGGGATTAGGGATTTCGCTAGCTTTGACTTGAATAGGTTCTTTCTGGAAGAATAAGGTAGACCCTGAACCTTCGGGAAGTTCTCCTGCAGGATCGTAGGGCGAGGACCTGGAGCTTGGTACTTGGAGTTCGGGATTGTGGGTGACGGATACAGGGTCGAGGATTAGGGCCAGAGCTTTCGTGTTTTGGGTTTTACTGCTCAGGTTCTAGAGTTTAGGGGTTTTGGTGTTGAGGGTTAAGGCGAGACTTGTGGGTAAGGTTTGAGACGCTGACTTGGGGCTTCTGTAGGTTGTACTTACCTACCGAATGGTATTGGATGAGGTAAGGAGCCAGGGATAATGATATTCCCTATGATATAAGGGGCTAAAGAGCCAAGGGAACCCCAGAATCAACCACTGGGCTAGTTATTGCAGAACTTGCCCCTGTCATGTGTTTAGGGGACTAACCCTGGGGATTGCTGTTTGTATTGGTGATTGCTGTCGGCTGTTGCCAGAAGCCTTTCTAGTGAATCACCTTCAAATGAAGTGACACTGAAGTTGACAAACTGCAAGGAAGCGGTCGAAGGATCCCATCTGCCGCTGCAGATGCTGCGCCTGCTGTTGCACGGGCCCGGGATGGCAATGCGCAGGGGCGGCGGCTGCAGGACAGGCCGAACGTGCGCGAGCGTCTGGTGCTCCAGATCGATGCTCAGAGTGTGCTCATCGAGCCGCTGCGGTCGGAGATTGGGGCGAAAGGACTCCCTAAACCCTAAAACCCAAAGCCCAAAACCCTGTAATGCAACCCTCAACCCCTAAACCCCTAAACCCTAAGCCCTAAGCCCACCCAGCTAAAGCCTGCGTGCGAGGAAGCTGTTCAGGCACGCACTTCGGCTCGCCAGTTCGAATGCGACGACGCAAAAGCAGCTGCAGGAGTCTCAAGGTAATATAGGGGTTCCTTTGAAGGGATTCTTAAAGGTGTCTTCAAGGGATAGGTACTATGATATGGGGGCCCTAATAATAATGGTTACCTATTCTAGTTTTTGGGGCTTCCTTTTATTATTGCAGTAAAATATCTCCAAAACCCAGTCTAATCATCAAGGCCCGTAGACTATTCCCCTGAAGCAGTCTTCGAACTTCACTGACTGTGTGAGGTGCTATCTACTCAGCCACTAAGAGGCTTGCAACAAAGCCCTACGGCCTAAACCATGACCCCCAAGGTGAATACCATCAGCCCTTGAACCTAGACCGAAACCCCATAAAGCTTATACAGTACCTTCTTCTTCTTCTTCTGAAAACCATACAGTACCCTCTTGGTCTAACAGCAATACGGTACTCTCTTCTTCTGACAACAAGAATCGATCGCCCCTGAACCCTAAACATTAAACCACAACGGCCAGGCGGCCTTGGGGGAGCTGAGGAGAGCAGTGAACCAAGCTCTGCAGGAGGGTGGGGAATGGCTACAGTTTAGGTTTTCGGGCTTCAATCAGGGTCCGGTTAACCAGGAGTTTAGGGTTTAAGCGTAGGTGTTGTGTCAGGGTTGAGAGTTTAGGATTTGGAGGTTTAGTCACAGTTTAGGGTTTGGGGCTTCATCAGGGTTTAAGGTTTCGGGGGTATGTATATTGGTGTCTTTCGACTGGGCTTATTCATGGGTGTTTTTGTTTTCTGCCGTTTTCCGATATGAGCAATACTGCGATACTGGTATGGGTCAGGAGATTGTGTTCCATGCCCGGCCAGCTTCGTAAGACGCAGCTTGCTAGGCCCGTCTGCAACGTACAGGCATCCGGCTCAAGGTTTCGGGTTTCGGACATCCCGAAGTTCGAAGGTAAATACCCACAGGCCCATAGTAGTTCTTTTTTCGGGTTCATATATAGAATCCTATAAGGTAATCCCCAAAAGGAACTACTATGGGGCCTCTGAGTACTTTCCTAAACGGTGGATCAGCTTGCAAGTTCAAGCCACGCCTGGAACATCCTGGAAGCATAAGTGCACACTGTGGTGGTGCGCTCGTCGGCACAAACTCAACTAGTATGTATGTATTTATTTATGTATGTCTGCCTGCCTGCCTGCCTGCCTGTATGCATGCATGCATGCATGTATGTATGTTCATAATTTACATGTATATATCTATACATATACACCACACATACACCGCTTCACCTATCTCTCTATCTATCTGTCTATGTATCTACCTGTCCATCTAGATACCCGTATCTCCTTCGCACCACAACCCTTTGTTTGGACCTGCACCTGCATCTCCAAACCCGGAGCGAAACTGAATCAACGAACAACATAAACCAAATATCCTACAAACGTAATTCGCGAAACCTAATCTAAAAATCACGCCGTACCGAATACCAACAGCCTCCCAAGGCCTCGACTGCTAGCTAAAGCTCACCTCAAGCACTAGGTTCCTGAGTAGTACCCTTTTGCCCTTTTTGTCGTAGGGTCCCTTTTTCACAACCGAATAGTAGGAAAAAGCGGGACTCTGTATTTTAAAGGGGCCACTCAGGAACCTACCCTAAACCCTAAACCCTAAACACTGAACCCTTAAAAACAAAAAACTGAGCCCTAGACTTTGTAACGTCTTCAGGAGAGTGGCTCCAGATCCCGGCCCAGTCCTGGCGTGGTGCCGCCCAAGCTCCAGGGTGACTTCACTGAGGCTGGGCTCCTTTTTAGGGTTTAGGGGTTTAGGGTTTAGGGTTTTTCGTTGGGTTTGATATTATATAGGGGCTATACTGTTTTTTTGGGAGGCCCTTATTATGATTATAGTGTAATGGGCCCCCAAACCCTATATTCTAACTAAGTAAGGCCCCTATATTTATTAGCGTTTAGGGTTTGGTGTTGTTGTTTTGGTGTTGAGGGGCAAGGGGTCGGGTGTTAGGGCTTTCAAGTTTGGGCGTGTTAAGCAGGGAACAATTGCAGAATAGGTGCCGCTATTCGGTTCTGCCGCATCTGCGATAGCAAACAAGCTCTGCGTGAGGTAGCACTGTGTGTGGGCCATGCGTGTGTCAATTTCCCGATTCACTTCGGGGGATAGGTTGCTGCCCCAAGTCAACCAGCTAGTCTTTCAGCCTGGCGACGCATAGCTTTGTATTGGCTACCAAAGGGGTAGGTGTCAAAATTAGGGTCGCTTTTTGGGTACCCTAAATGTTAGGTGCCGTGATGCATTAAGGACCAAAAAGGGGTCCTAATTTTGACAACCACCCATAGAAAGCATAGTAGCCCGATCACTCTAAGCCCTACAAACATATTTCACGATTACGTTTGAACCCTAAGCCCCTTGTTTATTATGTTGTTTCCAGCACGGAAGTTAGTTCTCGTCTACCACCGCTTAACAAGAATCTACGAGGGTATGGTATGTTGTTGAATTTGGCTGCTATGCTTCGGTTTAGGTGGACAGTGTACTGGGGTTTTGAATGTTGAAAGGATAGGGGATAGCCTAAACCCCTAAACCCTCAAACCCCTAAACTCCCGAAACCCCTGAACCCTAAACCCAAAACCGCGTATAGCACACCCTAAATCCCCCAACGTCTTACGTGCCGTGAAAACTGCAGGCTCAAAGCCAAGCCTTGTTGCCAAGCGACTTAGAATGTAGGGTATAGAGCTTCTAGGACCCGGAGTAGGCCCTTATTCCCTTTTTTAGGGTTTAGGTTCCCTTATAACCCCCTTTAAACCAAAAAGGGCACCCTTTTTATTCCTAGGTTACTCTTAGGTATAGAGTTTTGCTTTTTGGGTTTTCAGACTGTAAGTGTTCTGGGTGCCCTAAACCTTACCTTAACCACGATTCCTACTGCTTTCGGATTTTTATAAGGAAGTCGTAATAAGGAGCCCTAAAAAGGTAGGATATTCAGGGTTAAGGTGAACCCGGGTTCAGGATGTGTGCAAGGTTTTGGGGTCTGCCGTGAATCTCTCGAAACAAGAAAAAGCCTAAGAGTCTTCTCCTCCGGGCCCCTATAGTATCAAAGATGATAGATCTGTATAGGTCTACTATGATAGAGTATACTATACCATATACTACTCTCCCTCTAACATTTGCATCGATACACTCACATAGTGTCTTCACATTATTAACAAATGTGCCATGGATTCCGGACCGGTCTTCGCGATTTTCCGGCGCTACTGGGACAGCGAGGCCAGATTGGCGCGAGACACCTTGCTGAGGCTTCTGAAAGCACTCTCCGGCATGGAGGTGGGAGGGGACCAAAGGTTTAGGGCTTCGGGATTCGAGTTTGGGGCCCTGCAGCAGCACCTAAGACAGCCTTGAGGAGGAGACCTTTAATAGTGTGTGTGTGTACGCCTTGAAAACGATATTAACCTGAACCCTAAAAGCCCTGGACTTTGAAACGCTCACTAGACCACCTTAAACCCCCGACCCTAAACCCGTGAAAACACCCAAGGCACACTGTTAGCAAAAGGCTTTTTGTTCTCTCTCTCTCTCTCTCTCTCTCTCTCTCTCTCTCTCTCTCTCTCTCTCTCTCTCACTCACTCACTCTCTCACTCTCTCTCTCTCTCTCTCTCTCTCTCTCTCTCTCCTCGTAAAGCACCTAAACCCTCCTAAACCTCGAACCCTAAACCATCCTATACCTAAACCCTAAACCACCCTTAACCCCAAATCCTGAATCATCCTAAACCCTAAGCCCTGAATCATGCTAACCCCCAAATCCTAAATCATACTGAACTCCAAACCATAAACCAGCTAAAACCCCAAACCTGAAACCATCCTAAGCCGTAAACCCTGGATCATCCCGCCCCCCCAAGCCCTCAGTCATACTGAACTCGAAACCATAAACCAGCCTAAAACCCCAAGCCGTAAACCATCCTAAACCCTAAACGCTGACTCATCCTAATCCCCAATTCATCCTAAACCCCAAAAAACGCTGGTTCATCCCAAAACCTGAACCTTTATTTCAGGAGGAGACCTTAGACTCGCTGCTGCTGCACTCTGGAGCGGCAAACACGCAAAGTGTGCCTCGAAACAGGCTTTTTATGGGTTTAAGGAGTCACGGATATGGGGGGGGGGTTCGGGATTTCGGTCTTGGAGCTTGGGAGCTGGGGGTTTAAGTGTGTTAGGGATTTAAAGTGTAGGGTTTCGTTTATTGCCCATCTGTTTTAATACCTTACCCTTAGGTTCGTGGACCCTTGTAGTGGGCGCGGACCCTGGCCCCTAAAGCCGAAACCCTCCCCAGAAGGCCTAAGACCATCTTAGGAGCCTCAGAAGTTCGTCGTGACGATGGACCTGGTAGTAACTGGCTTACCTTTGGTTAGTAGGGAATGGAAGAATGGTAGTAATAGTAGTTAGAATTGTACCCCATTCCTCCATTCCCTACTAACCAAAGGTAAGCTGGGGTATAGTGGAAGGTCTGGGTTAAGTGCAAGGCTTGTCCGCTTTCTTCTGCATTTGTAAAGTTACTTTTGCACATGTGCACGTGTATTCTTCCTAGAATCACTTGTAAGACAACGTGTCAAAGTCCATATTCAACAGAGAACCACATTGTAGGAGTTCCCCACCAAACCATTGTGAAACCACTTGCAAGAAATCGGATTTCGACAAAAGAGCTGTGATCGTTCCAGAATCCGGGTGTGGGCTTTAGGGTTTACCTATAGTCTCCATTGTAGTTCCTTTTTGGGGTTACCTGATCGGATCCTGAAGACATAATTGGTTAAACCACAACAAAGGAACTACAATGGAGACTATAGGTAGGGCATGCAAGTAAAACCCCACAGCCTCAGGACGAGTATGTCGACTGCCGTCGGCTGCTGGACTACCTCTGGGAGCCGTGGCGGGGAAAAAAAGCGTAGGACCTAGGGCTCAAGGTTAATGTCAGGGCCTTCGTACTGCGAAGTGTCGTTTTTTTGTACCAGATACGTAACGATTAGCCGGGGGTACTGTTGATGGAGAAAATCCTGCATGACCCATTATAAGGGATATACCATATTTCCCATAGTTTAGAGTCCTTAGGGTCATTTTTGTCCATCAGCGGTCTTATTTCGATTTTCCCCACCCCACGCCCATGTCACAGAGTTGGAGCTTGGGGTATTGCTTAGGCTTTACCTACACCTCACAAGAGCTTCCAAAAACAAACTCGAGGCGTGTAGGCAACACTCTCGAATGCCATGACTCGGGCTTTGGCTTTGGGGATGGTTTGCAGAGGTTTCAGGTGGCGAATCACAACGTTAGGTCTCGGCGGCTGCAAGTATGATGCATACCGGCAATACTACGGGCAACCGAAACCCTGGACCCGAAAACCTAAGCCCTATGTCAGATCCTGGATGCAGATGGTCAGACACCAACAGTTTTCGATGGACCATGTATTGTGGTTGTTGCTCCCAGTGCAACTGGGTGTTCCTTAGGGTTATAACGTCGAGTCAGGGCATCATTTCGATCAAAAAGATTGATACAGCTGTAAGAAGTTCATCTACCAAATGACAGCTTTGACTACCAGTTGCTCGTGACGTAGGAAACTCTTGACTCTGAACTCAGAAGGTCTGCACCCATAGAAGATCAAACTCTTAACCGAAAGCCCCAAGCCCCGAACTGCAACCCCTATAAATCCAAAGAAATCCTAAGTCCGAAGCCCTACGCCCCCGAACGACTCCCCCACGAGGAGCCAGAGCGTCTGTCGGCCCTCCCATCTCCACTTGCAGCATGGGCCGGTAGAGTGGAGGTGGCCCACAAGAGGGTTTCAGGTTTAGGGTTAGGGTTCAGGGTGGCGGGGCGGGGGGGGGTTACAGGGTCGGGGCACACCCAATCTAACCCCTAATAAATAACTATGGTCACCGAGCTGGGGAGGTGGCTGAGCGGCTACGCCGCCGTGGTTTCTCTGTCAGGCAGTTGATCCGCTTCGTGAAGGCCGCTGGTCATCCTTGGGAAGCTCAGTTGGGTTTGTGCTTTCAGCTTTAGGGTTTAGAGTTTAGGTTTAGGGTTTAGAGTTTTCAAGGTTTAGGGAGTCGGGGTGTCTTGTCGTCTGCTTGATTCAATGTCCAGGGTGCAGGGATGAGGGTCTCGGACTTTCTGGTTCAGGGGTTAAGCTTTGGGGGTCAGGGGTTGGGGTTTGGGGTTTGGGATTTAGGAGAGTGAGGGTTAGGGGAAATCAGCACTGTCACATATTTTTGGAGGGATGGGGCAGCTGCCCCAAACCCCCCCCACCCCCGCTGCCGGTGCTGAAGGCTGTGTATAGTTGCTACATGGTGCTACTCCATTGGGTAGATTCAAGGAGATGGTTTGTTAGCCTGTTTCTTCGTTACTTGTACAAGTGTACCGGTGTACCTGCAGGGAGCGAACAGACTTACTTCTGTTTGACTGATGAAAACCCCTATACTATACCCTACAAAGCCTTGTAACGACCCTACCTGTAGGCTCGTACCCTACCCCTTCTTTAGGGTACCTAGTTTGGTATAAAATAAACCTTAACCATAAAACTAGGTAATGTCCACCAAAAAGGCGCAGGGTATGCGCTTCTAGGTATAATGTGACCTTTTCGACAATGCTCCCTGCGCCACAACCCGAGGTCGTAGGATCGCTCTGAGAGAAACAGCCATGGCAAAAAACATACAAAATACCAAAGCATCTTGCAGCCCTGACATCCCTGCATAACCCCTAAATGTAATTAATTCATTAAGTAAATATTATAGCTCAACACCTAAAGGCTATTATTCTAC